TGGCCTCCACTGGACCTTTAAATGGATGGAGGAGGAGTTGTATATGGTTAAAATAATCCTGCAGGTGTTTTACCCACGTAGTCCTGATAAAACTCTTCTTTGACTTTCAGCTGCACTCAGCTGTTAGTTTTTGTGCTCCTTGCTCATATCTGCAACCCTTGAAACAAGAAGATCTTTCAGCATGACATGGGTCCTACATCTGACATATTCAAAGACCTTTCCAGTCAGCAGTATGGAAAGTCTCTCTGAAAAGAGGGCTGAAGAGGAAAATGTTACATGGGACAGAGTCCTCTGTTTTTAAATCTAATTTTGTGTGTGTATATATATATATATATGTATATACATATTATATTCATATACATATATACATATATATATACATATAAAACATGGAAAATCTAGTCTCTGTGTACACACAGAGGACAGAAAAGTTACTAAGATTTATGTAAGCTAAACGCTTCCTGTTGGTACTTTAAAGAATACAGTGGCAGCCTTAAAATAACATACTGGCTCAAGAAGTTCTTTAAATAGCACAGGGAATGTGCCGAGCTCTGAGTCCACCAGCAACAACACGGGAAGAGGAAAGCCAGAGTTCAGAGGAGACTTTCTGTAGCAGGACGATGGTGGGATGATTTATTCCTCCAAATGTTACCATGTGTTTGACCTTGATACAAAGAGACTCTCTGCAATAAAGAGGACAGTCCCAGGATGTGTTATACTTCCCTGATTATGGAACCCTACTGTGACACAGACAGAAACCACACACTCACCATTGGTGGCAAAGTGCATGTATGGCGTTAAAAGTATACTGCCAGAGAAATACGCAGGCAGTAGAAAGCAGAACAGTGAGCTGCAGAAAGGGGCAATGCAGGAAAACTGTCATGCTGTCTTGCCTGAATTCAGTGCTCCAGTGGCAAAAAATAATGGATTGGTAAAAAGGCAATTCTGGTTACTCTGTAAAAGGAATTTTTCTTATGAACTCAGAGCATTGAGCTTCAGGATCTTTCACACGCTGGGCAGAAGTATTCTTGCTATCAGAGATTATAGTTCAATTTTACAGCTACAACAGTATTTCAAATTATTGGAAAAAAACCCTATTCCTGACACTGATACCTCACTGCTGTTAACAATACGGCAGAGCTCAGCCCCCCACTCCTTTGCTTGTTGATTTTTATGGGTGTTGCCTCATAGAATTAGTTGATAATCTCATTATAACTAATCCCATTTGCTTCTTCTACGAAGCAATCTTGTAGTGACTGACTGAGCTCCTTTTGTTCTTATTTCTCCTCTCCCTTAGTTATTTCAGAGATGTTCTCTGGGAAACATGAACTCTCTGTGCAAACACTTATCCTGTTTAGCAGCTATAGTTCCAACCTCATCAAATTAATCTCCTTGCCCAACCAACAAGTATTTTCTTTTTGAGCCAAGCAGCAAAGAAATACTATCTGTAGTTCCTTAACATTCCATTCAACAAACTGTTCTGTGCTGAAGCAATTAAAGTTTCTCAAATTCTATTTCATGATTACATTATGCCTTTAAAAAGTGCTCCCCTTTACAAGATTTCTTTACAGGCATTAAAATACAGATGGCCCATAAAACTTCAGTTATATGCTAATATTTTTGGCAGTTGGATAATAAAGTGCTTAGTAAGGTAGTATCACTTAATCCAAGATATTCCTATAACATGACTAATCATAATTATACATTTGGTAACCAGCAGCTCTTAATGAAGTTACTAAAAGCATATAAAGGTTATTGAGGTGAGGACAAGCATTAGAAGCATGCACACACCAAGCATAACTGTAAATTGAAGTTTAGGAAGGTGAGAACCATCTACCTGTTTATTTTGCTGAATGCTAATTATATTCATAGTTTAATATAATTATATAATTATATTCAACTATAGTATGTCTGACTGTAAGAACATTTGCAAAATGTGCTTCGCATTTTTTGTTTTCGTTATTCAGTGCTTGCAGTAAGTGCTGAACAAATGCAAGTCTTTATTCTTGCTGATACGACTTAGTGAACAAACCCATTGCCCAAGGTTTTGTTTTGGTTTTTATTTTATATTTTTAATCAGATAATCCTTTTCTGGAATGATGACTTTCAGAAGTAGTGAAGATACTTCTGTACACCCTATTCAGCACAACAGATCTGGGAGGTAAAGAAGGCTCATGAGTTTACTTCTGATTTCTTTTCCACAGCTATAAAAGCTATTATTTAGTTATATGGTTATTATTCTTTTTTTTTTTTTTTTTTTTTTTTTTTTTTTTTTTGTCTCAAAATTTCTGCACTAAATGAGGCAAGGATTATAGGAGATAGTAATGTCTTATTTTAATTCATCCTGGAAAGAACAGATAAGCTGCCAGGTATGTACCAAAAGTAGTTCCACTCAAAAATCTTGCCTTCAAACTCTGGACCAAGAAGTATGTAACAAGGCTATTTACAACCTCAATGCTAAGTATGGCTCAGCTATATTGTACATGGGGAAACAATTTCATCATAGTTACACAACCCACAGTTCCATTACTATACAGCATCTCAGGATTGCCTGCCCAGAACTGCTCTGAAAGGCAAGGGAGCGTTGCTCATTCCGTATGATTATTTTGCATTCAGGAACACCTTAGTCAGGATCCACTGAACAGACTATGCCTGCCAGGAAAATTTCCACTTTAAATAAGAAAGATCATCTGATTATGGCAATGCAGAATTACTCTGATTGTTAATGAGAGGGAGGGGAAAAGGTGTGAGCACAGACAGCAACCAAATTTGTGAGGACAATTAAGCACCTACATATTAGGCCCACGTATCAGTACCATGTTACCAACAAGAACTTCTATGACAGAGTCATTTGCCACATAGCTGTCCAACTGTTCAAAGTATCTCTGTCTCTGACTTTAAAATGTTGGCTTCTGAAGATTTTATCGGTAGGTATTAGGCTTCTGCACTGAGATTCAATTCATAAGTCAGATAGAAAGTGAATGGAAATGGAAGATTTGGGTTTGAATCTTACTCCAGTTAATTAAACAGGAAAGAATTTTTTAACACAGCTTTACCACATTCCAGATGAACATCCTGGTCACTATCCTCTGAAGCGTTCATACTGATATTTTCCAGACCCTTCAAGCTTTTCTGCTTCCCACAGAACACAGAAATTCTGCTTGGGGAAGGGACGGGAATCTCTGTGCTCCAAAATGATACCTTAAGCACCAAGGCAGAAGCCTTGTCTTTCTTGCCTGAAGACAATTTCAGTAATTAATATGGAAAGGGTTAATTTCTGCAGGAGAAGCAGAAAAAAAATTACCTTATTTGACAACAGAGCACTCGTAGGAAAGATTTGGTCTCAGATTTGAACCAGAGGAGATCTCAAGTCACAGTCTTACTGCTTTATTTAACATGCTATGAAGCATTAACAGTTTTCATGAGAACAGCTGATGTGGAACAAATGGATCCAGAGGAAGTGGTGCTGAGCAGAAACAGGAGGTACACGCACAGAGATACTCCTCGAGTGACAGGAAACCCATGTCCCACTGAGAGGTACCAGTATGGGAGATAGGGCCTGTGATACAACTCGGTAAATACATATCGTGCTGTTGTTTCCTCTCTACACACTGCTCTACACACTGCTAGCTTGGTTTCCTGGCTCCTAGGATGCTAGTTATTAGGTCTGTCATTGGCAAGAGATGATGTGTGAGGTACTTGGGTGTTTAGCTAGAGGCTGCTATTTCTGTTAGGCAAAGACAGATTCACACAGTACTAATGCTGAGTGTTGTTATATTCATGCTTGGTGATGTTCCCAAAGATTTACAGTCATGGAAACTTAATAGTGTGCCCAGACATTGTAATTTCCATTCTAGTGTCTTGCTCTCTACAAGATGCTTTTCTAGCAGTCTGTGGAAATGATTCTTAAACTAGGAGAGACAGATTTACAAGCAAGTATCCTGTGGTGGTGACAGTGTACAATAATGTACAATGAGAATCCATTAGAATTGAACCTGTTATAATGCCATAGAAAGTGCTCCAAAAACTTACCAGTACTGGTTTATCTTCTTTAAGATGAGAGCTTCTGTAGTGCAGAATGTCAGCAGAGCATATTTCCTGGGTACTTTATAATGTTGGCATGGAAGGTAAAGATTTTCCAGATAGCTCTTCTGCTTTCTTTCTTTCAAACGCTGGTCTTTTTATCTCATCTCGGTTTACTTTTACCTTGTCTTGCAAAGTCTTGCAAAGCTCTGCACAGACATACAGTGCAGTGTTTCCAGTTGGGAACACTGGAACATCCTGTCCAAGTCAACCCTGGTAGACAAACACTTTGAAATGCACTTCACGTGCAGCTTTGAAGTAGAACTTGGTTCAGCGCTCTGTAGGAGGACCTTCTGAAGTCTTCTGTACTGTTAGTTTTGAAACGACTCAACAAAGCATTTCAGAATACAGTTACATTTTAATTGTATTGTCAAGTTCATCTTTATTCAACAAGGAAACTGCATATACATTCAACTTAAACTTACTTACACAATTTCCTGAAATGGCCCTTTAAAGAAGTCCTGCTTCTTCTTCACAGTGCTCTATTTTCTACCTTTTAGCTGCAATCTTACTTTCCTCAATAGCAGGAAACTATGATCCTGACACCATGCCCTAAGATTACAAACAGTAGAATTGGAGATAAAAACATTCTGAGGATAAATTCTACGTCATCTTTTTCTCTTAAGGATTAAATTACACCTACAGTAGCAATCCCACTCTGCAGATAGGTGCAGTCAGACACAGATATACAGACAGATACACTGAGAAGGGGTATTCAAGCTCTTTTCACTTAATAGGACACATAGGGTTTGGGTTCTTTTGCTTTACGGGAATTCTTACAGACTTCAAGACGCGACAATGATGAGAGCATGCTGTCTCCTGCCTAAACAATTGCAAATGGTTTTATTAAGAAAGAGAAATCTTGGAATAGCATTTGCTTTAATAAACAATTTCTCTTTCTTATCCTAACGTAATAGGTGCTGACAGAAAAGAGCACAGAAGTCTTATCTGCCATGAGGCATCTCAAAGTATCTGACAGCTGCATTCAAAGCTGTGTTTGGGCTGGAATTTTCAAAGGAGTGCAAAGATGCAGGTACTCAAATTCCATGTGAATTGGAGCCTTAGTTCTTGAGGTGCTCTGAAGCTAAGCCTTACTCAGCTGCAAGAAATGCACTTTGCTGCAGAGAGATAAGACGTTGTTAATCCAAACTGCAGTGAAGCAAATACAAGATGACATGCGCATCATAGCCATGCTAATTAAGTTTATGAAATCCATGCTGGTTTACTCAGGGAAGACAATGAAAAAATGGTTTAATGGAAATAAAATTTTATGGCCATGGAAAGAGAGGCCCATCAGTCCCAGGCATTCTCTAAGGGCTATAATAAAGGAAGGGAAGTTACCCAAGTATACTTCTGCTTCTTAGGAAGAAGTATCTCTGGCTCTTTTAGCAGCAAGAATGCTGGAAGAAAGTCAAGAAGGAAGAAATTATGTCTCACTGTATCTCCACTGGAATTTTGTCAAGCCGCTGAAATTACATTATTGGCTTTTATTGGTTTTGAAGCTAACATTAAGCACACTGTCCATATCTCCATCTGATGAGACAGCTAATGTATTAGGAGTGAATAAATGTGCTCCAAGGAGAAAAAAAAAACAAAAAACTGCGCAACACCATAAAATCGTAGAATCATGAAAGATGAATTCTGGGCTGATTGTGATACCGTCTCCAAGAAGCTTGCCAAGTGTGACACCAAAATAGCAGCGGATGGCTGGGATACCAAAGTAGAATAGGAAGATGGAGAAGACAGTGGAAGAGATCTAATGTTTATGATATAAAAATTAACAATGACATGGTGAGTTGATTTCGTAACAGTTAAAGCACAGAAAATCTCTTAAAAATGTTCTCAGGCATAGATGTCTATCTACAAAGGTAGCCCCTATGAATCAGATTACGTATTTTGTCTCAAAACAAAGACTGGAAATGTAAGAATTAATCATAGAGAGGTAGTACAAAAGTAACAAGGAAATTCAGTAGAGTCATTAAAGATCACAAGATATTAGAGATATATTAAAGAAATAGGCTGGAGAGATAATTCAGGATAATTCCAAATATAAGAAACAAGGGACTGCTTGCAAACACGTGGGAAAGTAGATGGAGACTAACATGAAACAATGAGAATGTAACTTTCAGTCTGGTGTCATGCTAAACATGACAAGGCCTAAGAAGGACATATGGTATTTAAGTCTTGTATTTATTGAGAGTTTGCAGGATTTAGTGGATAAAATGCAGCAAGAGGAAAATGTGTGTAATGTGAGAGCCATTTATGAGAGGGAGAAAAGATCAACTGTGAGTGTGAAAAAGGACAGAACGCAAGAATGCAGTTACGGACAGTGGGAGGGAACTCTTTAATGACTTTCTTAGTACATAGATAGTTGAGCTATTTGTAGAACAGAAAAAAAAAATCAGAGATTTAAGAGGCAGTTGGAATTCTCAGAAACAACAAAGGACAAAATGTTGGAAGTTTAAGAACTAAATTACTGAAACCAGAAAGATGATGGAAAGGTCTTTGTTGGACAGTGACATAAGATAGCTTAAGGACCATGGAAACTGACTTTGTTGGAATGAAAATAGTTTCTCCAGCATTTTTTAAAAAGTTTTGAGATAGATTATAATAAGGATCATAACACTTCCTGTGTGGTACTGTTTACAAATTCCTGTTTGTGACATTTTATACACCCACCTCTTATACAGAGAAGATAACAGCTGAAGAGCAATCTAGTTTCTGGAAAATAAACTGTGGGAGAAGACACAAAGATTGACTCCTTCATGTCTCCTTAAGGTCTCCTTGGAGTCATGGCCCAATTAAAACTATATTATAAATATATTTGCAAGAGGGACTGAAATTAAATGATCCTCAGCAATCCTTCTGTTGTTACTAATAATTCTACTGGCAACAAAAGGAAAACAATATGATATAAAAGGTAATTGGAGATCGCAAGAAAGTAGGAGAAAAAAAATGAGGCTCAAGTTAAAAAAAGGTAAAACCAATTATTGTCTGTAATCCTACAAAAGGATTTTAGACGAGCTTCTCTAGCAGCTGATAACAACAGATAACAAATCTTTGGTGATTAATGGTAGTGCTCAGAATATTGCTTTATGAGAACACTCATAAAGCATCTCACATCCTCACATCTGAGGAGGTAAATGGAGTAGGAAGGTGTGTTCCTTCATTTTAAAATAATTTTTACTTTCAGATCATGAGTAAGAAGACAAGAGATAGCAGACCATTGTAACATACTTTGTTTTATCTAGAAGTGAGATTTGATTGCTCACAAAAAGGACAGATGAAGAAAACAAATATCTTGAGAAGTAAAATATGTGGATGAAATTTCATTAGGAATGGTGGTGGATGAATAGAGAACATATATAGGGATTTAATGGAATCTCCATAGCTTCACTGGACAAAGTGTGTGACTAGAGTGACACAAGAAGCATCTATGCAGAACCCTTCCACTGCTGTGCAAGGCAGGTCAATCAAAAATAAGTGAAGCAGAAACAGTAAGCTGAAATAATGTTCTTAACATACATCCTACTGAACAAAAACATGCCCTAAGAGAAGGAATCTGGGGCAAACTGAGAGGATCTGTGAATCATTATGATTCTAAAACCAGTAAGGAAGAAACCACGTGAGAATTAAATGGACCACTAGTAGAGACTTATACTCTGCAGGCATAGCCACATGCACTCAGAGACAGATCATAACCGACAAGTACATTGCGATTATGACCTGCTACACAGTGAGCAAACCAAGCTGTAAGCCATATCAACATTTACATCGTTCTTGACTTTACTCATCTTAAAATAAACAAAATTTGAATCTCACGTTCCAAAAGATCCTTCCGTAGTTTGAATATCAGACTGGACATATTCTCTGAGTCCAAAGTGATGTGGGGAATATTCAGTTGTTGCTGATATGAGGGTGTCTGAGGTGAGTGTGAGATGGATTTTAGATGCTCATAATGCAGAGCATACTGCTGCTCTGGCCAGTATTGAAAGTAATAACAAAAATTAAGATGTAGTTTGTTGCTCATTTGATATACACAGCAGAAGCTGCATGAGGATCTAATCTTCCCATAATTATCAAGCAGACTGTGGATTTCAGGATAGATTTAATTGCCAATATGAAGGAAATATCTTTTCCACTTAGTTTCTGTTGACTGCATCTTATTGCCAAAGATTTTGAAAATGCACACACTGCTGCCCTAAAATACACAACCGTAAATTCCTCCCAACTCTTTTATTTAAAACATTAGCCCTGGAGCTGAACAATACCTTTGTATCAGTTGGATCTATTACAGAAGTGTGCACTGGAAAATTACATTACGTTAACTTGCAGTTCTCCTAATACAAGTCAACAAGGACAAATTCCAGGTATCAGGACAATGAATTGTTGGTTTTGTTTGTATTTATGCTCTTTCTATAATGTTAATTTGTCTGAATTTTGGATGTTCTTGTGTGAGGGTGCTTTCTGATGTAACACAGGTGTACACAGTCTGTCCTTGTCCACTTGTGTGCTGCTAACCACAGCTGATTCCCAAATTCTTCCAGTGTTTATCTTGTATGTTCTCATAGAACCATGAAGAAAGCATCACTTTTGGGCTTGGAAATATAGAAGAGGGCTTTTCCTTCCTCTAAATGATTGTATAACACAATTATTTTAATTACCAGCTCTTTTCTATCTACAATTGGAAATGGAAATAAAAGCTTACTATTGACTTCTGGGAATCTGGTGGCACAGAGAGAAGACAAAATATTTTACAAATATCTTCCAGATTTGAAGACAGAATACAGCAAGTGAGACCATACAAGCTGACCTGAATTTGAAGCTAGATCTATATTTTAAGAATACCAAAACAACCAGGGGTGAGTCACTGGGGAGGCAAAAGTAACCACAGAGTTCAAGCACAGTCTATACTGTGAGCTTGACATGGTTTCCAAAACCTTTAATTTGTTTTAGAGGAACTAAACACATCCTTTAAACAAAATGCTGTGCTTTTATAAAGTTTATGCTTCGCAAAAATAGGAAAGATACTGAAAGCATTAACTCTTCAGTGCTGTAATCACAACAAATGCTGTGTATCTGTGAGATGTTATCTAGATTGATACCTAAAATAAATCACTAAAATTTGCCTTTGTGCAACTTCTACCACCTACTGAGAACACACAATACCTACTTCGCAGATACTTACTAAAAAGTCTATGTCAGTAAAGAAAAAATTCTGGCATCAAAGTCCAAGCAGCTTATCCAAAGTTTAGTGAATTCAAAGGGAGTTTTCCACGAAGAGGATTTCAATAAGGCCGTTAGTACTAACAGGCTATCCTGAAGAGAACAGTCCAGGTTCTTGAAGACATATTCTACCAGTACCAATGTGATTTCAAAGCAAAGAATTTTACTGCCTTCTGTGGAAGCAATTGGTGATGCAGGTATGATAGCTTGTATAAAGTAACTTCTGTTTCTTTGCATGAAATGAAAAAGAAACACAATGTACCACCCTTTTAAAAGATACTCATTACTTTGCAAGAAGGTTTTGCTTAATATTTGATGATGTACACAGAAGTTTGGGATGATGATAGTAATGAAAATGAATGAATCCCCTTGTGAGGGATGTTGAAATCTTTCACACGTATTGCTTCATTAGTGGAAAACCTGAATGCATTTTCTTTAAGTGCATGTGATAGGACAACAGTGTGCTTTTCACCCCCACTATGAAAAACAAGAAAAAAGACTTCAAGTGTCATGCAGCCGGAAGAAGAGAGCAGGAGCCTGAGTCCTTAACGCCGTAATTGAGGCACTTTCATGAACTAATGGCTACCTGGGTTCTGGTCCTGCTTAAAGGACTGTTGGTGAGAGGCAGTAACTGGGTTCAGTATGTAAACTGTCCCTGGAGCAGGAGTTAGAACTCACATTTTCTCTTTCTTAGCAAATATTTAGCACATTTGAATGTCATTCTCATGATCTTCCCCCATTTTGATAGGAATCTGGGGAAATGTGTATCATCTGTAT